CCAAATCAAATGTTATAGGTTCCAAGCCCCCAACCCACAGTGCTGGCAAGATACTAAATCCTGGTAACTATTGTGACTGCTGTCCCACCCAGGTTCATGCGAAGGCCTGTTGCTCTAACTCAGTGCACCCAGAAAACAACCCTCTGGCCTTTTGTTCACACTGATACCATAAATGTACCCTTCGTTCAAGTTGGTATGGCCTCTGAAAGGTTAACCACTCTGCTCTTCACAAGGATTCAGGGGTCCTTGCTATGACTTTAGCCTCCCAGGGCAACCCATACGGGAGGCTTTCCTACCTGCCCAGGGCAGAGAGAGGCTCAGATCCTTGCCACTTAAGCATCCTGTGAAGCCTGACCCATGTCTCAACCTTGGGGAGGTTTTCAAATCTCCTTTCCCTCTGACTACTTGGTTCTCCATTCTTTCCTCATCTAGGACAGGTCAGCATAATTTCCTGAGAGGCCCAAAGTGGGAGGAGGTCTCTTCTTGAGCCTGAGAATGGTTACTTCCTGGTGTGCCACACAATGGCCCCAGAGGCAAGTGATCAAAAGACCAAGCCCCTTCTAGGGCGTGGGGATAGAGGGCACAGGAAAAGCATCCAGAATAGTTCAAAACACCATTTGTAATATTAGAAGAATATTACATACATTACAAACAACATAAATGTCCCTCAATGCTTAAATAAATGACAGTGCACCCAAACATTGGAATACTATTCAACTGCTGTGACCAAAGACGGCCACCATGATATTTCCCATCCCACATGTCCTTCTTACAATGTGACTTTGGCACTTCTCCCATGGAGACTTGGGGTCTATTGCTCTCCCCTTGAAATTGGTCAGGCTTTTATGGCTTTCAAACAACCAAGTGCAATAGAAGTGAAGCTATGTGACTTTCGAGGCTAGTTTGTAAAAGGCTATACAACACTCTCTTAGTTTGCTGGAACACTGGCTCTTGAAGCCTTTAGCTGTCATTTACGCAGACTGCCCTGAGACCACCGTGGTGTGAGGAAGCCCAAACTAGCTCACACAAAGAGCCCACAAGGAGAGATCCTGAGCCTACACGGAGAAGTCCAGACAGCCTTCATCAGCCTCGTCCCCATGCACTTTCTCCAATCTGGCCACCATCTGAACGTCTATGAGACCACCCAGTCCGGCTCTCACCAAATTCCTGACTCACAGAAACTGTACGATTTAACAAAACGATTATTGTTATTTTAAGCCACTAAGTTTTGAGTGATTTGTTCCTGAGCGATAGATAGCCAGAAAGAATCTTTTGATGCACTAATATGGAACCGTCTTCAATGTATCATATTAAAAAAATAGGGATGCCTGGGTGGTTCAGTCAGCTAAGTGGCCAACTTTGGCTCAGGTCATGATCTCAAAGTTCACGGGTTCCAGCCCCATGTCGGGCTCTGTGCTGACGTCTTAGAGCCTGGAGCCTGTTTCAGATTCTGTGTCTCCCTCTCTCTCTGACCCGAGCCCAGTCATGCTCTGTGTGTGTGTCTCTCTCTCTCAAAAATAAATAAATATTTAAAAAAAATTTTCAAGTATATAATAGTGTATATTGTATGCTCCTTTTGTTTAAAGAGATATAGTCTTGTATATGCATAGATTTCTGGTTTGCCAAGCCTCTGTGTGCATTAGAATCTCCAGGGTGGGGGTGGGGGTGGCTTTTAAAAACTATCAATGCCTGAGCCCACTCTACTTGAATTCAATCATAATATCTAGGAATGGGATCCAAACATTGTTATCTTTTAAACGTTCTCCAGGAGATTCTGATGTGCAGCCAGAATTGACAACTCTTGGTATAGAATAACCAGAAGGTAACACAGGAAATGGGTGCTGTGTCTGCCCCCAGAAGGAACAGCGGGGTAAGAATGGCTAGTGTGGGAGAAAGACTTACTTTATGGTAAACTCTTGGATTTTTTGAATTTATTTACTTGCACATGTTACCTGTTTCCAAGGACAATAAAATTAAAAAAAAAAAAAAAAAGTAGAACACCCATGCAGTGAAAATAAATCAGAATAGCAAATTGGGAATAACCTCTTCAGTAATGGGAGTCAGTTTGGGGCCCGCTATAGGGAGGCCTCAGAGCAAGTGACCTGTCCCACCTGGGAAGTGTGGCTGGTCAGAAAGTACTAAGGAGGCAAATCCTGAAGTAGCCTCTCACCTGAAATGACTTATTTGCTGGTCCACAACACCCCCCACTTTAGTTACGCTTTGGAAAGCAGTTTGGGACAGAGTAATGGCTATAATACGTGACCTCCCAGCTGCCAGCACCTCCGTGAACCCTGAGACCAAGAGGAGGGAAAATGCCCAGACTTACACGGGAGGGGTAAAGACCTGGGTTCTGGCTGGCTGGGCGGCTGACCTGCTGTTATTGAGGAAAAGCGGATTAGCAGGGATTTGGTTATCTGTTTCACTTCTTAGATTCCTGCTGCAGAGAACTAGAGCACTGTTGAACTGGGTAGGTAGTAGCAGACCCAAGTCCAATTCCATGGAGCCCCTGGGGATGTGTATGTGGGAAGGCGGAGAGGCCCACAACATTAAATAGCAGTCTGAGATACTGAACTGGGAGGGAGAAGAAACACCAAAGACTGGCCTAAAGCTTCCTCTCTAGCATCTTCTCCTTGTACTGGGGCATAGCCATATGTTCTTGGTTTTAGGCATTAGGCAGCTCTCAGTCTGGAAATCTCCCACCATTTAACCTTAAATTCCACTACTTGTCAGTTGCATGACCTTGTTAAGTCACTTAATATTGTGACCCTCAGTTTCCTCATCTGTAATGTGGATTAAAATGTATGGAATATTGGGTGCCTGGCTGTCTCAGTTGGTTGAGTGTCTACTCTTGATTTCAAGTCGGGTCATGATCTTACGAAACGTGAGATTAAGCCCCACATCGGGTTCCTCACTGACAGCTCAGATCTTGCTTGGATTCTCTGTCTCTCCTCCTCTGCCTCTCCCACCTCCCCCCGCCCCCAAAACAAATAAACTTAAAAAAACCCCACATATTGTTTTAGGGGCATCTGGGTGGCTCAGTCGGTTGAGCGTCTGACTGCAGCTCAGCTCAGGTCATGATCTCACGGTTCATGAGTTTGAGCCCCAAATCAAGCTCTCTGCTGTCAGCCCAGAGCCTGCTTCAGATCCTCTGTCTCCTCTCTCTCTGCCCCTCCCCAGCTTGCATGCTCTCTGTTTCTGTCTCTCTCTCTCAGAAATAAACTTTTTTTAAAAAAAGAAGAAAATGCATACTCTTTAAGAAATAAAATAGAATGTATGGAATAAGAGAAAGAAAATGATAGCCATTGTTACATTAAACCAGTTTTTATTGGTGACTATTACATGCAAGGATGCAAGGTGGATTCTAATATTTGACAACATAACTGTTGTAGTGGTTAAGAGCGGGCTTTGGAGTCAGGTGTAACTGGGTCAAAATCATATTACTGTCACTTATTAACTGGGACCTTGGGCAAGTCACCTAACATCTCTGAGTCTCATTTCCTTACCTGTAAAGGGAGAATCATAATATAGCACCTCCTTGAAAGCTGCTGTAAGGATTATATCAAATAATGAATGTGAAGAGTTTTGTGCCTCCAGAAATATGTATCCAGAAATCAGCATCTGTTGCCATTGTATGTTTTGCAGTCTATAGGGAGTGAGAAAGTACTTTACACCCATTGTCTTACTTGAGCCTCTCCAGGACTGGGAAGGAGAGACACATGGGGGGGGGGGGGCATTAACTATCTTTGATGTTCATTGACTTATCCCCAGTCACAAGGGACAGCATCAGGAGTAAACCCAGGTGTTCTGATTCCCCATATGACTTGTGACTTCTGGAAGCTCTGAATCTGATGGTTGACAGAAACTTGAGGATCAACTCTAGACAAAAAAGGGAGTTCCTTAAAATTACTGTGAAGACGTTCATTGGAAATGGAAGGAAAGGAAGTTAACAGTTTGGCTTCTTTCACAGGTGCTCTTGACCTTCCACTCCCGCCTAGTGGACTCCCGCAGGCTATAAACAGGAGAGAATGAATAAACATATATTTAACCTTAGATAGCGCCCAGTTAGGGGGCAGATATTAAATCAGGATGACACGATTAGATGTGACTGGAAGGATAGGAGAGAGGGGGAGGGGGGGGATTTAGGCTGAGACCTGAGACAGGAAACCAGGCAGCAGGAACCATGGTCAGTCCCCAAAGAGAACAAGCTCGGCTGGCAAAGGAGGCCAGGATGGGTGGAGAGCAGAGAGAGGCGGAGATGCCAGGTAAGAAAGGCGCGGGCGCCCAGAGCATTCAGGTCCTGGAAAGCATAGGGAGGGATTTAATTTTGTCTATACATGTCAAGAAAAGACACTGAGGATTTTAAACGAGGTTGGAATTATATTTCATATTTATCTTTACACTTTTATTCACATCTTAAAAGGCGTCTCTGGCTAATTGGAACCTTCAGTGGAGAGTTGGTTGTACACTAATGGCAAAGCCCCTAACTTTCTCGCTGACCTTTCCCCATTTAGGACCTTTATTCCGCATCTACTAAGGGGCAGTGGGAGAGAACGGGGTTCCAAGGGATCACTGATAAAGACCTTTCCCCCTCCAAAAGGCAGAACACTCAACAGTCTAGACAAAAAGCTTCCGGGTCTCTTCGGACACTTTCCTTGCTCCGGTTTTCAGGTGGAAAACCTTTCATAATTCCTCGCAGCCCCCAGCGGAGAAGGAACCTCCCGAAGACTAAGGGACTCGTGGCCCTGCCGGACAACCAATCGTGAGAAGGAAAACAGCCAGGGGGCGGTACCCCCGCCGTCCGGGCCGTGTCATTGGCTGGCGGCCGCGTCGCTCGCCCGCGGGGCCACGTGACTGCCACCGCCCGGGCCGTCGTACTAGCTGGGTGTTCCGCACCTCTCCGCCGGTGCTTTCTGGCCGCCCTCCGCGGTCCCGCCCGGCCGGGCCCCGCCTTCCTCGGGGCCGGACGATGGGCGGGGAAGGGGACGGGCCGGTTAAAGGGAGGCCGGCCCGGGACCGGGCTACCTCTGCCGGCGTGGCTGTGCCCTCTCTCCTCCGCCACGGCGCAGGACGTGCCGCGGGGCCTCGTTGCACCGGGAGGCCCGGGACCTAGAGGTGAGAAGAGGGGAGGGGACGCGAGAAGGGGGAGCGGTGCCGGTCTCTACGCGGTCAGCGGGCCTCCCTGAGGGTCGTTCCTGCCTGTGCCGAAGGCGTGGTGGCAGGAAGCCGGGACCAACGGCCGACGTGGGCGTCGTGGCCAGGCCTTTGAAGGTGGGCGTGCGTCAGGGTTGCACCCTCGATCCGCTGACCTGGAGCGGGGTCAGAGCCCCCTTCCTGTCCCCCCTCTCTCGCCGCGACGATTCCGACCCCACTCCTCGGCCTCAGGGCTACGCGCTCTGCGCCCCACATCAGGCGGATGCCCCGCACCTCCTGGGTAACGGTGCTGCTCTTGTGCCGGAGCCCTTGTCCAGGTGTCTCAAACTCGGTAAACTGGGAGAAAGACCCAGGAGACAGAAACCGCTGTCGCCACTCAGCCTCCCACCCTTGGACAGATGGGGAAACAGGCTTGGACACGCGAGAAGACCTCATTATCTTGGTTTTTAAAACCACACACCTGGTTAAGTACAAATCAGGGACTGGCCTTCGAGACTCAGACTAAGTTGCCGTCTTTCACTGGGTAGATGGGGACACAGAAAGAGCACAGAGAGGACCAGGTCCTGTCCTGAAACTATATAGCAAGTCATTTGCAGAGCTGGGATTTGTACCCAGCTCTCTCAAACTCATAGAATGGAAGGCTGAGTCCTTCTTTTGCACGGATTGGGGACCACGTGAGTTAGGAGTATTCAGGACCCAAACCTTTAGACACCCATATAGTACCTTTTTTCCCCTTCCTTATCTCTAGGGCTCTTTAATCTGGAACCGATATGATATCCAATATTGGGGTAAGGAGAAGTTCCTGTTTTTGAAAATCAAGAGAGAAAAGGAAAGCCAAACTTATTGGAAGAAAGGAGCCCATTTTTTCCCGTCACGAATCTCAAAGGACAGGCTAGTAGCTCTGGTTTACTGAACAAATGCTATGTGCCAGGCACTGTGCTGAGTACTTGTATTAGCTTTACAACAGCCCTGACAATTAGGTCGTGTTATCCCCATTTTACAGGTGTGAAAATGATGCTGAGTAAAATGAAGTTTTTCACCAGTGCCATACAGTTGTTGAATAGTGTGGCTGGGATCTGAATAGAGATCTGTTCAACTCCAGGACATACAGGGTGATTCTCCTAGCATGGCACTCACCTCACTGGCTCTGAGTTCCCCAGGGATCCCGTCTTGGATCTCATCCCCGGATTTGCCTGAGAAACTGCACTTGAATATCACTGCTATAATATGCTGCCTCCCTGGGGAAGATCTAGAGATAACATATTCAGCGCTGCGGAGAGGTCTAGATTAGATTTAGGAGGGGTGAGAAATTTGAGCGTTGACTTCACTTTCAGGGAGCATAAACCCCAAGGCAGATGCTTGCCAGACTGTAATTTCATTATATAAACTTAGTGATGGTGTGTGGAGGTGGAGAGAGAGGGGTCACTCCTTTTTCTTTACTGCATAGCTGTTAAACTGTCCTTTATCCATTCACTCAACAAATATTTGTTAAGCATTTATTAGGTGCCGGTATGGTTTAAGACACTGGAGATACAGCTGTGAGCAAAACAGAAAATTACTGCACTCATGAGAAACACTATTAACCAAAAATTAAATAAATCGAGTATGAGTTGGTGAGAAGGGCCATGGAGAAAAAGAAAGCAAAGTAAGGGGGATGGGAGTGCAGGGCAGGGATGAGGGAGGGAGGCATGGTGGTGGCAGTGGTGCTGCTTTATGTGTTGTGGCTGGGAAGGAACTGATTAGGGTCGTATTTGAGCAGAAGCCTAAAAGAAGCCAGAGGGAAAGCCATGACCATAGCCCTGAGCACCATTCCAGTTAGAGGGCCAGCACAAGTAGATGGAGGTAACAACCTGCTTGGCCTGTTTGAGTCTTGGCGGGGATATGAATTACTATTCTAGCCAAAGTGTAGTTATGGAGGTACATTTTACATTGTTTGCTCCTGATAGAAGAAAGAAAATGAAAGCGTTACCAATGCATGTGTGTAATATGAGAGGCAAAATTTAATTTCGTTCTTAATCCTTTACAAAACCTGCTTCAGTAATGTGTAAACAGCTTCAAGAGGTTCGTCACCTTCATTTATTAAAATGAATAAGACTCAGTACTGTGAGTTGAGCACTTGGCCACAAAATAGGGATTTGAACTAGCTCCGAAAAGTTCTTAGCAAGGAACCAAATTTGGGGGCCACATCGTATTTTAGAAAGAGAGGGGACCTTGGAAATTGGAAAATGAGGGTTGAGATTTTGGTCCTGCTAGTTGAGCCAGTGACTAAAACTTCACTTTTTCTCACATTGGAGGAGAGGATTCATAATCTGTTCTCAGATCTGTTGAGGAGGCAAGTGGGAAATGTATATGAAGTCTTTTTGAGAGCAGTGAATCACTCTTCAAGGAACTATTTAATTATTTGATCGTGGTTTTACATGAAATTATTTTCTTCTTCGGTGTTTTAGTTTTTCATCTGCCATTAGGCTTTATACCAGAAGCAATATGTCATAGTGCTTATCTACTGATAGAAACCTTATGGTGGCTCTTCTTTTTTGCATAGCAGCCATAAATGAACACTGTTAATCATTTGCGATAACCGGAAAATAGGAAGCCGTTTTTGTCTTTATTACATTTACTTGAAATGTCACCTATTTGTTCATATCAATAAATATAGGTATATCACTGTACATACCAATGGGAAGCCTTGTGTTCGGTGTTATAGAGGAGTCTGCCTTTAAATGTGTCCTCTAGTTTGAGAGAGATGTAAACTTAAGTGCTAAATAGTTACATGGACTATATCAGGGCAGCATAGCCAAAGAAGTTTCAGCCCCCTGTCCTCTGGTATTTGAGGTGGGCCTTAAAGGATTAGGAAAAGGGCCGAGATAGAGAGAGAAGGGAAAGGCATCCCACACTGAATGAAAAACATGAACAGAGACCCAGAGGAACAAGGGACGCTTAATATTTTCTTGGATTGATGACTACAACACTAGTGCATGGAAGGAAGCAAAAGAAAGGCAGGTTCAGCTCCTTCTTAGAGAGAAGTGTCTACTAAACATTTTAGACTCTATACGGGAGGAGGTGGGGTGCCATTGCAGATTTTTGAAGAGTGCATCCAAATGGTTGTTAATGAACGCTTCTTTTGAAGAAGGGGCAACATAGCATGGTGGTTAAAAAAAAATAACCAAACAGTGGTTCAGTTGAATGTTTAAGGCTGAAGTATGTCTGCAGTTTTCAAGTAGTTGAGGGGAAAAAAAACTCCAAGCCAACCAACTGGTATGTATGGAGAGTGCAAAAATGCCAATGTAGCCAAACAGTAACAATTGGTGAGTTGTTAAATTTTTTAATGGGTTAACTGTGAATACATCAGTGTTGCATATATCATTCTTTCACCGTTTCTGAAGATTTGAGAGATTTCAAAAGAAGCAGTCAAGAGACAGAGTGGGTGTGAATCACACAGGCTTTGCTTCCGGTCACAGCTCCACTACTTACAAGCAGTGTGAGTACTGGAAAATTCTTTCCAACGGCGCAGTCCACACCTATTACAGCCTAGTGTAACTGAGATTTTTCCATGTAAGTGAAGAGAGTGGTTTAGTAGATGACGTGTTCACCTTAATAGGAGGTTAATGTTAAGACTTCTGAGTTTTCCACAAACTTTAGAGCTAGGTCATTTTATAGAGTTGCTATTATTTTCCCCCTCTCTGTTTTCTTTTGGATTGTTTAGTATTATTTTCTGTGATTCCATTTTTATCTCCTTTGTTGGTTTATTAGCCATAATTCTGTGATTGATGGAATTGCATTGGGATTTATAGTATGCATCCTTAACTTACCAACCTCTACCTTCAGTGTTATACCATTTTGTGTGTAAGAACCTTATAATACTCTGCTTTCTCTCCTCCTAGTTTTGTGTTCAAATATGTATTAAAAATGTAAAGTTGGCCATTTTAACCATTTTCAATGTGCAATTCAGTGCATTAAGTACAATTCACTGTGTTGTGCCACTGTCACTACTCTTTGTTTTTAAAATTTAAGGGGCACCTGGGTGGCTTAGTCAGTTGAGTGTCCGATTCTTGATTTCAGCTCAGGTCATGATCTCCCAGTTTGTGGGTTCAAGCCCCCTGTCGGGCTCTGCGTTGATGGTGTGGAGCCTGCTTGGGATTCACTACCCACCCACCCCCCGCCTTCACACTTTCTCTCACTCTCAAAATAAGCAAACTTTAAAAACACACACAAAACGGGGCACCTGGGTGGCTTAGTCGGTTAAGCGTCCGACTTTCGCTTAGGTCATGATCTCATGGTTCGTGGGTTCGAGCCCCGCTTCGGGCTCTGTGCTGACTGCCAGCTCAGAGCCTGGAGCCTGTTTCAGTCTGTGACTCCCTCTCTCTCTGACCCTCCCCTGCTCACGCTGTCTCTCTCTCTCACCTAGAAATAAATAAAACATTAAAAAAAATTAAAAAAAAAAAAAAAAAAAACACACACACAAAACTCCGGGCACCTGTGTAGCTCAGTAGGTTAAGTGGCAGACTTGCACTCAGTTCGTGATCTCATGGTTCGTGAGTTCAAGCCCCGCATTGGGCTCAGCACTGATAATGCGAAGCCTGCTTGAGATTCTCTCTCCCTCTCTCTGCCCCTCCCCAACTTGTGCCATCTTTTTCAAAATAAATGAATAAACTTAAAAAAAACAACAACAACTTAAAACAGAAACTGTAATCATTAAGCAATAACTCCTTCCCTGCAGTCCCTGCTAATTTCTAATCTATTTTCTGTTTCCCTAAATTTGCCTGTTATAGATACTTTATAGAAGTGAAATTATACAGTATTTGTCCTTTTGTGTCTGGCTTCTTTCACTTAGCGTAGTGTTTTCAGAGTTCATCTATGATGTATGTGAAGAGTATCAGAACTTCATTTCTTTAATGGCTATATAACATTCCATCGTAAGGCTTATAGCACACTTTGTTTATCCTTCTGTCTGTTGGTGCATG